GGGGCGGTGCCGGGCATGGGGGCGCACGCGTACGCTCCTCAGCGCCAGGCCGGCGTCGGAGCAGGCGGGTACGGCCGCCTCCCAGAGAAGAGCGCTTAGCAAAGGAAACTCTGGTTCACCCGGTGTTTCGGCAGGCCCCTTCGTAGCGCTGTAATGCACACAGCAGGCCCAGGAAGAGTGGTGGATCCAGGCTCTCGGGTGGGGCTCTGCCGAGAGGGACCTGGGAGCCTTGGTGGACGACAAGCTGACCATGAGCCAGCAGTGTGCCCTTGTGGCCAAGAAGTCCAGTGTATCCTGGGGTGCATTAAGAGGAGCGTGGCCAGCAGGTCGAGGGAGGTTCTCCTCCCCATCTACTCTGCCCTGGTGAGACCCCACCTGGAGTACTGTGTCCAGTTCTGGGCTCCCCAGTTCAAGAAGGGTGAGGAGCTACTGGAGAGAGTCCAGAGGAGGGCTACAACAATGATTAGGGGACCGGAGCATCTTTCCTATGAGGGAAGGCTGAGGGAGCTGGGCTTGTTTAGCCTGAAGAAGAGAAGACTGAGAAGGGATCTCATGAACATGTACAAATATCTTAAGGGTGGATGTCACGAGGATGGAGCCAGACTCTTCTTGATTGTGCCCAGCAACAGGACAAGGGGCAATGGGCACAAACTCAAGCATAAAAGGTTTCAGTTGAACATGAGGAAGAACTTTACCATGAGAGTGACAGAGGACTGGAACAGGCTGCCCAGGGAGGTTGTGGAGTCTCCTTCTCTGGAGATATTCAAAAAACATCTGGACAATGTCCTGTGCAACCTGCTCTAGGTGAACCTGCTTTAGTGTTGGACTGGATGATCTCCAGAGGTCCCTTCCAACCCCTGCCATTCTGTGATTCTCTATGTAGGCCCACGAGTCGCCTAGCCAGGAGCAGATAGGTTACAAGCAAAACACTCACTCCCTCTCTTCTCGCATGCAAATCTTTCAGCTCACCTAGTTGGGGGAAAAAAATGGGACAAGAGATTTGGATGTGTTGGTCTTAAATTAATCATCTGTCTTCCTTCACCTAGCAACTCTTAACCAGGAGTCATCCTGCAAAGGGATAGAACATCGGGTGACCTGAAACTGTGAGCTTCCTATTCGGAAAGGCAGACGAGCCTCCGGTCTTCTCCAGTGCTATGGGTCCACTTCAGCTTTCAGCTTGCTCACACATAATCATCTCAGCAAATTTCAACACGCATTTGTTATGCTGTAACTTTCGTCGCTCCAAAGGTACACTTCACTTTTAACCTATAAACAAATGAGATGCACACCACAGTCAGGGATATCTAACCAGCAGGGAAAAACAGTTGTGAGCAAAGGTCCAAACACATATACACAATTAAAACTCTGTTTAGCTCGTTGTAGTGACAGGGTATCAGAAGATAACAGCCTGACAAGAAAGATTCAGGCCTCAAGGATAATCAGGCACTACAAACATGTGCAGACCAATTCTGCCTGGGCCAATCATTTTTGCACAAATATTTTTCCTAAAGGAAATTTTAACTTCCTTCCCAGAAAACTTTAATTGTTTTAATGGTTAAAATGACAACAAACCACTTTATCGCTAAGCCACAGAGTACAAAGACACTTTTACGCTGTTTCTGCTCCTGAAACAAAAGTTGGCCATGCAGATTCTGTTTTAACTTCTACTGCTTAAAACAAACACAACTCCTTTTCTGCTCAATAATGTGACAGGAGAACAAATTGCACCAATACAGAGCACTACAATAAGAAATACCATTATCTGCCCAGGACAGGGGAAGAAGGCACATTTTCTCATTGGACTGACCACGAAGAGGAGTCTGAGGTCTACCTATATTCTTGCAGAGCCTTGGTAGCAAAATATACAAGTCTTCTGTTATTATTATTATTATGTATAGTCACATGTCACAGTATTATAAAATGTCCTTTGCTTACTGCTAGAGAGATTCTAACCCTTGATCCCACAGAACGCTACCTTCTCAGGATGGGGGAGAGGGCATCTTTTATTTGCCAGCCCATTTCAGGAAGACCTTCCCAGAATGGATCTTCAGTTTGCTTCTGCAAATAAATCACTTCTCTCTTCTTGTTCCAGATCAAAACAGATAGAAGACTATTCTGGAATAAACAGGATTTTTCACTTCTCTGATCTGGTTTATTATGCCTCTATTAGGATGCACACCAAACACTTCACAGGCACTCCACTGTTTTCCTTACTTTGTTGTTATCCGAGACCTCTATTTGTTTCTCATTCACGGACATGTGACTTCTCAAGGGTAAAAAATTCAATACACCCATGGCAACCACAAAATGCATTAACCCCTTTTGTCAGGGGTGTCTGTACTGGGAATTCTAGACTATTCCAAGGTTTTTATTTACTAATATGCATCACCATTATTTGTAGTACAGGAACACCTGTGACTCATGCAGCCGAGGGGCACACTCTGCCAGAATGCAATAATCAGCCCCTCGTCAGTCCTTGGCATGCTAAGAATTCAGAGTCTGGACATGTTTTTATCACAGCCAGGTCCCCTTCTGTATTTTCTGAACTCAGAGGGGCTGATCCAAAATGCTGAAAAACTAGGAACTTGCATCCTGAGAACCTTGGCTTGGTAACAAGGCGGGGCAGAAGGAGAGGGAGGTGTTACCTCTTGGAAGGACCAAATTCCTCAGATATCTTGAAACAGAGATGGGTGTGGTCCCAGTCAAGACTGAAGAAGAGGAAGACAGGGCAGCGTCAAGTACAGCAGTAGTAACAGATAATGGAAAAGCATGCCACACCAGCCATTGCTGAAAGAGCAAGGCAATAATAGTATTTCCTACCCTTCTCTTCC